GCGTGAGTAGGCCAAGGGCGCAGCTTATAGGCTTGGAAAGGGGTAGATTGTGATCACTAGATGTCAGGTTCACCGCACACCCACAAACTGCCAACACAATATGTCCATCAACAATCATGGAAATTTGCAGCTAGGCAAAGTGAGGGGAATGGCGCTTGTGTTTACGGATCTTTAATTTGTGTATTTTGACATGTGATGTTGACAGTTTGTGTCTTAAGGGTTCTAGAGCATTCTTTTTGAATCTCAGCGGTTACTGTCATTGGATAATTGTTTTACCCCAGCCCATTGTTCCATAATCTGCAACTGTGAAAATTTAAATCGATACAAATCTGAAAAAAAAGCTTAAAAATAAACATATGACCTGTTGAAATTATAAAGAAAAAATAGAATTCTGCTACACCTATGCTTAAAGCATTTGCAGGATCTATTCTAGACCTAAATAGTACTTACCATGACATCCTTAATGTGTCCCATCTCTGGTTCATTTTATAGGGCCTCATCCTGCAAATGCTTAATCACCTGGGTAGCTTTGCTTGTGCAAGTTCTCCCGTTGAAGTCAGTGAGACTACCCAAGGCTGCTCATGTGCATAAGAACATTCAGGATCTGGCCCATACCCCAGGTTCCACAAAAGTGGAATAATAATAATGATTAATAATAAATGTCCAAGTTAAATGAGACATAATTAAAGCAAATTTGGCCTGTCATGCCTCTCCACACAGGAGTTCTGAATTAAGAAGACAAGACTTGGTTTGCCCTTTTGTACCTTATTATGTGTACAGCACCACAGACATATGCTCTTTTGCAGTAGGAAAAATATACAGCAAACATAATCCTGGCCTTCCAGTGCAGACTTTATAAAGGCACAAACAGATACAGTGTAAATGACACCGGTAGCAGACAGCAGCGTTGGGTTGTGATGTTTGCACACTTTGGCCTTGTGGGACAAGTGGATTGTTAGGAGCAGAGCTGTGGGATATTTCAATTGGATGGCAATTTCAAAAAGTCAAAAAAAAATTAGTTTTGGGTCAGACCAATAACAAAATTTTCCAAATTTTTGGCAAATTGAAAAGTCAAGACTATAACAGGGTTCAAAAAAGAACTAGATAAATTCATGGAAGATATGTCTATCAATGGCTATTAGCCGGGATGGGCAGGGATGGTGTCCCTAGCCTCTGTTTGCCAGAAGATGGGAATGGGTGACAGGGGATGGATCACTTGGTGATTACCTGTTCTGTTCATTCCCTCTGGGGCACCTGGCATTGGCCACTGTCGGAAGACAGGATGCTGGGCTAGATGGACCTTTGGTCTGACCCAGTATGGCCGTTCTTATGTGAAAACTAATTTCATTTCAGGTCAAGCAAAATGTTTTGTTTAGATTTCAGCCATGTTTTAACACTTTTGAACTTTGAAAAAAATAAAGGAAATTTTGAAACAAAAAAGTAATTTCGTACCAAAAAAATCAAAACATTTTGATTTTTTCAGAATTGTTTTTCTTGGAAACAAACTTCAAAACTGGCATGAATTGGCAAAATGTTTTGGGGTAGCTGAATTTGCATTTTTCAGCAAAAATTTTCAACCAAAAATTTTGGCCAGCTCTTGTTTAGGAGTGATTTGAATGATAAAAGAAATGGCCTGATTCTGTAATGTGCTGAACTCCTCTTGGGAGATGCTGGATGCCACCACTCCCAGTACCTTCCATAGGAGTTGAAGGTGCTCAGCACCTTGTGAGGTTGGGCCCTGAGTGAAAGTTGATTGGTCCAGTGATGAAGGTATGAAGTTGGGAGTGGGTGAAGGAGCCAAAGGGCCTTCTGTAGTCATTTAAACCACCTCAGAGTGGGTGTAAAATTTGCATAGGATGCAAATGACTAAACAAGGTGCTGGGTAATGCTGAATCTGGCCCTTTAAAGCAGACAGGATTGAAGTTTGGGAGCACAGATCTAAAAATCAGCTGTTAACCACCCTGCCATGATACTGTATGAAAATATCTCATGTAGAATCTGCCTATGCAAATCATAGCAAACCGACCAGCACAGGCCAGCCTATAGAAATTAAGCTTTTTGAAGGTGATAAAAAACAAAACAAAAAACAATTAACACCTGAAGCTAGGATGTATAAAGCCAGTAAATGTGTGTATTAAAACATAGGCGTTGGACTGATTAAAAGAGATCACACTGTTTCTCTTGGCTAGGACCTCACAGACTTCACTTTTGTTTACTTCCTATAAAGTAGGATGAGTGGATGAGCTGCGAAAATTGAGAAACTCCCCTTTTCCCTGTTTCTTTGTATTTACAGTCTCAGGTATCTTACTAGATATTAACACAGTATGGGCCGCATTCAGACCCGCAGTCAGCAGGAGCAGCTCCACCGACTCTGCGTTTTGCCTCCTGCACACGGCCTGAATTCAGCTCCATGTGTCTCACTGAACGCACCAGCTTTTGCATTCAACAAAAATGATAAAGCTGTAAACAAAAAATAGAAAGAGGCCCAGCCTTCAGATGTGATGTTCTGTTCCTGCAATCACAGGACAATGGAAATACCAGTGTATCCTGCAGTTATTTGTAGTGACGCCCTTGGGTCCAATACCAATTTGGGAAAATGTAGACATTAATTAATTACAATTTTTAAGCACTGATAATCAGGGCTGCCCAGACGATTCAGGGGGCCTGGGGCAAAGCGGGGGAGCTTGTACTCACCGGGCGGTGCTCCGAGTCTTCGGCAGCACTGAAGGGCCCCCCACCGCCGAAATGCCGCCAAAGACCCGAAGCGACTGAAGGGGCCCCCGCCGCCGAAATGCCGCCAAAAACCCGAAGCGACTGAAGGGCCCCCCGCCGCCAAAATGCCGCCAAAAACCCGGACCGCCGCCGGGTGAGGAAAGGGATTCTTGGCCAGGGCTTGCGGGGCCCCTGCAGGGCCCAGGGCGGCCCTGCCGATAATGTGCCAGGCATGATACAAGCCTTCAAATACAGATACTCCCTGCACCAGTGAGATGTAATCTAAGGCCCTGATCCTGCAAGTGGGGCCACATGTTCATTTATGGGGAGCAACTTGCAGGACGGGTCTCAATTAGACAGGCAGAGGAGATATGACACACTAGGGGCCAAATTTTCCACTCGTTCCAGGTTTACATTGGTGTGACTCCATTGACTTTAATGGAGTTGTTCCTTGTTTGTATCTGTGCAAAGGACAGGAAAATCAAGCTCTAGGTCTGTAGGTTTTTGTTATAACAATAATTATTAAACTTATTAACTTATAATAAGGGAATTGACAGTGTGTCCTTGTGGCTAGTGCACTGGACTGGGACTCAGGAGACCTGGTTCTATTCCCATCTCTGCTACTGGCCTGCTGGGAGAGCTTACACAAGTCACTTCACCATCTGTGCCTCAGTTTCTCCATCTGTAAAATGGGGATAAACATACTGACCTCCTTTGTAAAGCGGGTTGATATCTACTGATGAAAAGCTAGGTATTACCTGCCTCAGCTCTGAACACCCCTACATGCTGGAAGTGCTCAGATCCAGCTGCGCATGAGGCCCCCTGATGTTCAGGAAGATAAATGCCCCCCATTGATAAGAAACCCAGCTCCCGGGGCCAGCTGTGCTGGCTGCCTGTAGAGGGCAGCCTGTGACCTAGCTGGGCTCCCCGCTGCCTGGCTCTGTGTTCGCCTGAAGGCTTTTTAAACTTTCGAGCTTCGCCTCCCTCCCTTGCGTCATGGAAAAGGCTGGAGTGTGAGAGGGACCCAGCTGTGGAGCGGGGCAGAGGCATCCAGGGGTACGTGGGGGGCAGAGCAAACAGGGAAAGGGGGAGCCCCCAGGCTACAACAGGCAACTCCCCAAAACTTACAGGGGGCACCCCAAAACAGCAGGCGCGGGAAGGAATCAACAAGGAAAACTGAGCGGGACCTGGGAGCGCAGAGCCGGGAGGAGGAGCCCAGAGACTGGGGCTTCTGCATAAGCGCCCTGCGCAAGAACGGCGGAGGCCGGGATCATCTTGTGCGCGCAGAGCTTTGGCTGGAGCTGATCCCGGCCGGCGGCTCGGCAAGATGGAGTGAAGGGAGGAGAACTCTGCTGGAGGTGACCGATCCTTGCCCCCGGAGAAGGGGGTCTGAAGGGGCACGTGTAGCTATTTGGGCCTCCAGGTCTCCCTGCAAGCCGCAGCTCCCCAGCAGCCAGGACTGGGGCCAGAGCAGAGATCTTTTCGCCCAGCACGGCCTGGAGAAGTGTCCCCTGGCTTTATCCCTCTCTCCAAACGGAAGTGCCTCTGTTTTGCTGAATTCTTCAGGCAGCTTTCCCCCCCTCCCCACTCTCCTCTTCACCCCCGGACACAAGAAAACGGAATCGCATCCCCTCCCCACTCCCCTGCAATCACTGGGAATTGGGAAACTTCATTGGTGTTGCACCCCAAAATCTGCAGGGAGTGCTCCGAAGGAGGGATCCAGTGGATCGCTGCTTCCCTTGCCTGACGCTTTGGCTTTTCATCTTGGAAACACTGCAGCGTTTGGAAGGAACTTCGGTGGGTTTTGTGTGCAGCTCGTTTGAAGAGAAGGGAATTTGCCACATTTTTGATGGTTGGTTTTTGTTTCCTCTCCAAAGGGCTGGATCATTATTTGCTCTGACTGTATCAATTTCAGGGCGCAGAGAGGAACTGGCCAGGAAATAATCCCAACAAAAGAAACCCCTTTGCCAAACAGTTTTCAGACGGAATCAATGGATCTGACTCTAAAATCTTTCAGCCCTCATCAGGGACTTGTCTAACTTTGTGTCGGTGGGTGAGTGGCAAATCCTTCCCTTTTTACTTGGCATTTGTCAATTTGGGTTGTAAAAGTGATTTAAAGATTCCCTATCGCGGAAGAGCTCAGTACTTCTCTTTTTGTCTCCGTTTTTAAACTTCGCGTGAACTTTTAACATCTTCTTGAAGAGGGTGGGTTTTTTTTAGGCGACTGTGTTGTTATTGCTGTGTGAGAGGCGTGACACATTCAATCTTGGATTGCTTTTTGGCTTTTTAGTTTCCTCCACCCCCTTGGAGGTTTGTGGATTTCAAAAAATCAGCCCCATCAGGAATTGCAAAATATTTGTGTTGGGATCATTTAAGGTTGTGCTTTTGTTTTGTTTTGCCTTTTTTTAAAGATATTTTTCAAGCACTGTGATTCTGAATTGCACTGGATATGCTTTTTGGAAGATGGGCCAAGGTCTATAATTTTTTTCTTAATCCTTAAAAAAAAGAATTCCAGAAAAAAAAGAAGGGATTTTTGATTTCTTGCATTCGATCAAGATTATTTTGGGAATATTTTTAATGTAAATTCAAACAGGAAAGATGGACAGCGCAGGGACAGACTGACAGCTAGATAAAATCTATATGGAGCTGACAATTTTATGGATGTGTGTCCATCTGACTGAGGCCTATATCACCTAAACGGAGGGTGCAAAACATGTTTGATTGCCCTAGGAATGCCATTTTTAGCCGATGAATTTAGACTGCAGTGTGAATGTATAGGCCTTGAAGTTAAAAATTTTTAGAAAAAAATATAAACATATATTTTTGTTACTTCGAGGTGAATTCAACAAAACTTTTTTCCACATCACTGTTACAGATTATAAACTGGTGTTTTATAGATTATAAACCAGTGTCTCCGACTGTTGAAGCATCTGAGGTGTTGGTTCAGTGGTGGTGCTGGGGGGTGTCAAGTTATACAGTCCTCCAGGGAGCAGTCATGGCGTTGAAAGCCAGAGCACTTTACAACTTCCAGAGTGAAAACAAAGAAGAGATCAGCATCCAGGAGAATGAGGAACTGGTGATCTTCAGCGAAAACTCCCTGGACGGGTGGCTGCAGGGCAAGAACAGCCGAGGAGAAACTGGCATCTTCCCTGCCTCTTATGTCGAGATCCTCAGGTCCCGGTCGAGCTCCGGTTATACAGACTATTCAAACAGTCCAGCCAGCTCCCCTGGGAATGAGTCCTTCTACATGCCCCCTTCCAACACCAACACCTCCCATCAGGGCAGCTTTGAGGATGATGATGATGACGACTGGGACGACTGGGACGATGGCTGCACAGTGGTGGAAGAGCCACGGGGCAGCCCTGGCACCAATGGGCACCCCTCCCCTAACCTGCAGTACCCTGCGGCATACCCCAACCAGAATGCTGGCTATCGTCCCAAGCCAGCCTTGGAGAGGCAGGACAGCATCAGTTCCTCCAAGAGGGGCAGCGTGGTGGGGCGGAACCTCAACCGCTTCTCCTGTTTTGTCCGCTCTGGGGTGGAGGCCTTTATCCTGGGAGATGTGCCCATGATGTCCAAGATCGCTGAGACCTACTCCATCGAGATGGGTCCCAAGGGCCCCCAGTGGAGGGCCAACCCGCACCCTTTCATCTGCTCTGTGGAGGAGCCCACCAAGCAAACGAAATTCAAGGGCATCAAGAGCTACATCTCCTACAAGCTGACCCCTAGCAGCATCAATGCGCCGGTCTATCGGCGGTACAAGCACTTTGACTGGCTGTACAACCGCCTGCTGAACAAGTTCACAGTGATCTCGGTTCCACACCTGCCCGAGAAGCAGGCCACTGGGCGCTTCGAGGAGGACTTCATCGAGAAGCGCAAGCGGAGGCTGATCTTGTGGATGGACCACATGACCAGCCACCCTGTGCTGTCCCAGTATGAGGGCTTCCAGCACTTCCTCACTTGCCGCGATGACAAGCAGTGGAAGATGGGCAAGCGGCGGGCAGAGAAGGATGAGATGGTGGGGGCCAGCTTCCTGCTGACCTTCCAGATCCCCACAGAGCATCAGGACCTGCAGGACGTGGAAGACCGGGTGGATTCGTTCAAGGCCTTCAGCAAGAAGATGGACGACAGCGTCTTGCAACTGACCAACATGGCCTCGGAGCTGGTGCGCAAGCATGTGGGGGGGTTCCGGAAGGAGTTCCAGAAGCTGGGCAACGCTTTCCAAGCCATCAGCTACTCCTTCCAGATGGACCCACCCTACAGTTCGGATGCGCTCAACAATGCCATCTCGCACACAGGCAAGACGTACGAGACCGTTGGGGAGATGTTCGCCGAGCAGCCCAAGAATGACCTTTTCCTCATGCTGGACACTCTCTCCTTGTACCAAGGGCTCCTCTCCAACTTCCCAGACATCATTCACCTTCAGAAAGGTAAGTCATGCCCAGGCGCAGCTTTCTCTGGGCCTCAGTTGCTGCCATGATAAGCCTGTCTCAGGAGACTGCCCCAGGAACAGGCAACATTTGGCTGTTTAATGGAGGTGGCCTTCTCCTGAAGGTGGAGCAGGCTTGGACTGTATTTCCTTGGGGATAATCTGGGGTGGTCTCTCAAGACAGGAGGTAGGCAGCCTCTTATAGAAGTTTCACGGTATTTTGTCTTTCAAAGTGCTGTGCCCCCATTAACTAATTCAACCTCCTGTTAGTCCTGGGAGGCAGGTGCACATAATTACTCTAATTTTGCAGCCAGGGAACCTGAGAACAATTAAATTAGGGTCCAAGGTTTCAACAGGGACCTGGAATTTTAGGTGCTTCATTTTTCTGGGTGCCAAGTTTGGAAAGCTCCAAAGCCTGATTTTCAGAGGACCTTAGTATCCCCTGCCCCTGGGGACTTCAGCTGGAGTCGTGGATGCTCCGTACTCTGCAAGTCGCTGAGGTATCTAAAGTGAAACAGCTAATATTAGAGGCGACTTTAGGAAATTTGGGCCTAAGTGACTTCCCCAAGGCACACAGTGAGTCAGTGGCAGAGCTCAAGTGTTGTTTTTCCCAGCCTCATATTCAGTCTCTTAGACCGTGCTGCCTCTGGAAAGGGTTGTTTGAATCTCTGGGACCAGGATATGGGCCAGGATCTGCCTTATGCACAAGTCAGATGTGCTGCTGCTTAATGCCCTATATTTCTTCGCATTCCATGTGACCACCTGACATTTTACCTGACTCTGGCTGTGGCACCCGATTTCCCTCCCGCTGACTCACACTTAGAAGGGGAAGCGGAGTGCATTTTGGCAGCCCTGTGATTGGTTCCTCGATGTGGCGTCCAGCCCTGACAGAGACTTTCTTGAATGAACCCTGCTTAGGAATCACCTCATGACCAGGACCAGCCAGCTCCTCCTCCTCCTTTCTCATGTCCTCCATTAAGATAATGAGACCTTGATTAAGTACCCTCAGTCTCTCTAGTAATGTGTGGAAAGGAAATCTAGTGACAGATAAATCCCTGTTTCCCCATACTGGCAGAGCTGACTGTGATGCATTCGTATTCGCCTTGCTGGTTGCAGGGAGCAGCCCAGGGCACCTTCTGCAGGTGGCTAGGATCATGTTTGCTCTGAGCCTGTACAGTCTTTTGCTTCTAGGGAAGCCCAAGGCCTCTGTTAGCTCCTCTCAGAGAGCCTCAGAGCACCAGAGAGCAAGACCTCTTGGAAATTCATTGCTCCATGTCTGCCAGTGCAGAGCCAGGCTATCCTGTTGGGCCAGAGAGCTGGAGAATCTTGTCTTATCCCAGAAGAGGACAGAGAGTGCCCAGGAAACAGGAGATGATCATTGGCGAGGTGGGAGTAGCAAGGCCAGCACAAAGTCTTAGCATGCTGCTTGTCAGAGTAGCTGGCGTCAGAGTCCTGGTGAGGCCTGGATTCCTGAACACACTGTTTGTGTATGTGTTTGGCTAGCAGCAGAGTTGTGAGAATCACTATAGAGAGTCGTGCACTTGAGGAAAAGCAGTCCCTTTCAATCTCAGAAGTCCTACTGCTTGTGCCAGGCTCCCTCCTCTAGTCATATGTGGCCTGGCGAAAGTGAGACATTTGGGTGTTTTGGGGACATGTGGCAAAACAAGAGGTACTGCATTGTAAACCACTCCAGGAGTCCCAGGTTGGAGGTGCTGCAGGAACAAAATGCCTGCTGAAGAGAAAACAGCCTTGTCCGTCACAGAGGGATAGATTTCCAAAAGCACAGGAACCTAACTCCCACTGGAGAAAAATCTACCCATAGACTCTCTGTCTTCCTTCGGGGTTGCCAGCCCCCCTGACTTGCATTTCCATCCAAGGGGAGGAAGCTGGCAAGAGGATCCAGCTCTGATTTCACTCCAGGGCAAATATTTTGCCAGTGAAAGGTACAGGCAGGAAGACTGGGCTGTTAGATGCTTTTCTACAATGCCATTGTATGTATCCAGGAAGCCATAGTTCAGACAGAAGGGCTGCGGTTTATGGGTGGGATCTGGTTTATCTTACCAGAATGGTGAGTCACACCTGGCTTGCAGGTAAAAAAAATGCTTCTGTGTTCATGAGGAAGTGTCCTGCTAAATGCTGAGAGCCACCCTTAAACTGAGGCCTGGTCTACACTACAGGGTTAGGTCGACGTAAGCTGCCTTGCATTGACCTAGTTGTGCCGATTTAGTAACACCACCTTCCCAAACGGCATCGAGGCACGGTCAACGTAATTAGGTTGATACAGTGTCAGTGTAGACACTGCTTTGCTTACATTGACTGTTACTGGCTTTCAGGAGCTGTCCCACAATGCCCCACATTGACAATACAATCGACACAAGCGCTCATGGTGCGGACGTGCACGGCCGACACAAGCAGCCAAGTCCCCACACAAGTGATTTAATAACTGCGGTGGCTGTATGCCGACGTAAGTCAGGTCGACAACATTTTGTAGTGTAGACGTGGCCTCAGAAGAACCTTGCTACTGCAAGTAGCTCCATTGGAATGAATGGCACTACTAATGGAGTAAAGTGCTACTCTCTGTGTGTGAGGATGGCAGAATCCACTCCTAGGAGAGCAGCTGCCACCACCCAGAGAACCTGGATAATAGATTTCAGCTAGAAACAATTCTTCTTAAACCTTGGGAGCCAAATTCCTCTCGGGTGTCACTCAGCTGCCTTCCCTGCACTTACCCCAAGATGGAATTTAACCTTCAAGATTTTCTATATTTCTTTCCACTCATTCTTTATTACTAAGGACTTTTGTATGAAAGTAGGGCCCAGAATCTGTCCTGAGCGAGGCTTGTGTCTGTAACCAAGGGCAGGGCTTGGCTTAGATTAGAACCTTTGTTCCTAAAGAGAGCTTCTGTTCCTGCTACATCCCGATCAGGAGTCATAATCCTGTGACATCACATTAACTTCCACCCGCAGCCTACTGTGCTGTCACAAACAGAGGACTCTAACCTCAGGTCAGGCGCACGCAGCTGGCCTTGATAGAAACTCTTAGGAAGGAGAGATTCTGTTTTCATGCAAATGGACTTCGAGCTCAAGAATGGGAGAGAGGAATGCGGCAAACAGCCAAGCAGAATTCCTTCTCACAGAATTAAAAAAAAAATGGAAACCGCCTTTCCCACAAGCATCAGTTAGCCCCCCCCCCCCAAAGCCTTGTCTAGATGGTGACTTTTGTTCATGGTGTCAGGTGAGCTAGTTAATTTCCAGTGAACTTGAGTGTAAATGCTAAATTAGTTATTCCACAAAAAGTGTTCCTGGTTGTGGCTCACTTTACGGCTCGTTCTGACTTTCAGACCTGTTTCTCTGCATAATTTTTCCTTTGACCCTCCCTGAGCCTTAGGGTGAATCATGCCCAAGATTAAAGATAGGTGGAGTGCCATCATTTGCATTTACACTCATGTTAGAGCTTGTCTAGATGAGAAAGTTGCAGCAATTGAATTTATGGTGTATTTAAAACCGATTTAGTTAAACTGATGCAAAAGGCTATGTGGATGCTCTTATTTTGGCTTAAACCAGGATTATTTTGATTTAACTCAAGGCGGTTAGGAACAGCTTTAAGCTAAACTGAAATAAGCCACCTTAAACCAAAATTAGAGGGTTCACTCAGGGGTTTGCACTCACTTAAATCAGTCTGAAAACTGATTTCAGTGAAACTATTGCAACTTCTGCATGTGGATAAGGCCTCAGTTAAACTGGTACAACTTCTGTGTATGGACAAGGCCTTAGTTAGCTCAAGTGAATTGGTGATCAGTTAAACAGAGCTACAACATGACCAAACATTTTAAGCTAGGCAAGGCCTAAAAGTCAGAAATCAGAGAGGGAAAAGCTCTGCCTATTAGTTCAACCCTCAGAAACTAAAGCGCAATTGAAAGAGGACTCTTGTATCTGCCCGTGAAGCAGCTAGTTGACTGTCATCCCTTTGGGGCAGGGACTGACTTTTTGTTATATGCACGTACAGCGCCTAGTACAATGGGGTCCTGATCAGGGCGTCAAGGTACTCCTGTGATATAAATAACGAAGTGCCTTGTGAAGCCCATCTTGACGTACCTCGGACACAGAGCAATATCCTTTGCCATCACTGCATTTTAAAATCAAGGCTGGTTCATTGCTAAGAATGAGTCTGATTCTTCTGGTTTGCAGTAAGTAACCCCACCGCAAAGTGGGGGTGAAACATTATCATCTTGATTTGGCAGCACTTTACACTAGGGCTGGGTGGAAATTTTTAATCATAATGTCTTTTTTTTTTTTACAAAAAATTGCCATTTTGGTTGAAATTAACATGTTTTGAAAAATGTCATTTTGACAAAATGTTCTTTAGAAAGGAATGAAATGAAGGTTCTCGAAATGTCTCATTTTGACATATCCAGAACGGTCCATTTCAGTTGTTCATTTTGAAACAAAATTCATTATTTTTCATACAAAAAACAAAAATTAAAAAAAAATTAATGGTTGAAATTGGAAGGAAATATTTTGATTGTATCGAAAGGAAACATTTCTGTTGACTCCAAAATAATTTTTTGAGGGGGATTTTGTTTCACAGGAAATATTTAGTTTGTTGTCCATTTTAGAATGGGGGGGAAAATTGAAATTGTGAAATTTCCTACAAAACATAAATTCTGGTTCCTGCTGAGCTCTGCATTATACCCACTTTGCACAATAAGCCAGCGGAGAGTAAGGCCCAGAGTTCATTGAAAATTTACCCTTTTATTCTTTTCCTAAACAGACTTAGATTTTTCGAATCCATTTGCGAGTGGGGATTTTTTGAACAGGCTGTGCATACATGTGGCTTGTTTGTAAGTTGTTCCCTTTGACTAATCATGGTGTTTGGTCACATGGGATTGTTTCTGACTGAAACTTCTTAAACGGGAGTACAGCGCCAAGGGTCGGCAACACGTCCATGGTAAAAATTTTGAGGTCCGTGGGGATGCTCACCTCAGGCGGCTCCCCGCAAGTG